TCTCTCTCTCTCTCTCTCTCTCTCTCTCTCTCTCTTTTTTTTTTTTCTCTTTCTTTTCCTCACTTTCTCGGTCTCTCCCTCTCTCCCTTTCTGCCACACGCACACAGGACAAACGTTCCTTCTGGTTGTGTCTTTGCCTCATTCATTCACTAATGCTGCGCCTGGAGAAAAGGATGCTTCAGCAGTGTCGTGGCATCGGGTCTCTCCGAAACAGTGCGGCGGAAGCACAGATCGAGGAAGTCGTAAGCCTCCTGAGAACCTAAAACCTTGGGATCCTTCGGGACGGCGTCAGGCCACCCTGAGGACATGGCGAGTTTATTCATGATGTGCATCACATTCGACATCGGTACCCACGGCGGTCGCCCCGTTATCATTTCAGCCACCGTGCAGCCAGCAGACCATATGTCAGCCTTGAACGGGTCGTACCCATTCTCATCTGTGATGACCTCCGGCGCCATCCAGTATGGCGTGCCTGCCAACGTTGCAGTCGCCGCCTTGCGCAGCGTGCCGTGCGTCGTCATGATCTTCGCCTGGTCAAAGTCCGCGAGCTTTGCTATACCGGTATCCATGGAAATAAGAAGGTTGTCCCCCTTGATATCGCGGTGGGCCACCTGATTCTTGTGCAGGTACTCCAGCCCAGAAAACATGTGGCGCGCGTACACGCTTACCACCGGGCCCGGTAGGTGCCCATTCGGAAGACTCTTCATTAGCGATGTCACGGATCCTCCAGTGACAAACTCGAGGTACACGAACAGACGCTTCGGCGTGCTTTCAGTGTCGATGTGGCTGTGAAGATAGCGGATAATGTTTTCGTGCACCAGCTTCTTGTGAATCTCCACCTCCGTGTTGGTAGGAGCATCTTCGGCGAGCTCCAACTCCTTCACCGCCACAAAACGCCCACTGGGGAGAATGCCGGCGTACACTGAACCAAAACTACCGGCGCCGAGTTTCTTGCCGAGTGTCACTTGGCGCAGCTCGTTGACATCGACACTGCCCATCTCCGCGTGGGGCGTTGTGCTTTTTGCGTTCTTGATTTGTTTTTGTCTTTTTTTTTCTTCGTATTTTGGAACACAAATGACCTTTTTTTTTCCTACTCGCACAGAGGCACACAGCAAACAACGGCCAACCAACGCCGGAAAGAAAGAAGGAAAAAACAAAAAAAAAAAGGGGGGAGACAGACGCATCCATGCAGAGTGCTCGAACCCCGACTGCGGAGGCATCGCCAGCTGCACAAGTCAACTGAGAGACAAGGAAGAGCCAAAAAAAAAAGGTCCCTTCAGAGGGTGGGTGTTGTGTTTAAAAATGTGCTTAGATAAATCGGTTAGCTTCTCTCATGCGAGATGTGGTGTTGTTTCTTTTTCTTTTCTTTCTTCTTCTTCTGTCTCTCTCATTTTTTTTTCCTATTTTCCCTTTTTTTTTAACTTCGGAATTTCCTTCTTCACCCATTTCTCCAGCATACGTAACACACCTCTTGTCTTTTCCCTCCTTTTTTCTTCTTCTCGCCGTTCACCACCTCCTCATTTAATCGAGGAACATCACTTTCACTGACACCTGTAGAGGGGGCATGCGCGCACGTGAGCGGGCGAGTGCGCGTGTGGGTGCGTGTGTGTGTGTATGCGCAATCATCGCCTAGTTCTTGCGTTTCTTCTCCTCCAGTGAAAGAGGTAATTTGCTCGTCGCCAGCAGCAGCTCATCAGTGAAGGGTGGCAGCGCCGGCGCCTTCTGCAGCTTAATGCCGGTCACCGGCTCAATCCTCTTGTTGGTAATGAGCAGCGTCATTTTGAAGTGGCCAACGACCTCACCCTCCTTCTCATAGAGAACGGGGTAGGGCACAACCGCGTTGTGCTTCACCATCTCTGTGAGCCCTAGCCGCGCCTTCTTCGTCTCCAATTGGCGCAGCGCGAAGGGGAATGTCTGGTACTTGGCCTCAATCTCGCGTTGCAGTTCGCGCGCCGACTCCATCTTCATGGTATAAGTAGAGTCCAGCGCCACCTTGTATACGTTCGGGCGCGCGTCACGCTCCTTCAGCTTGCCCTTGCCGGAGCTCATGACGATGTCGAGCGTCCACACCTGCCCCGCCTCGAGCGTGTAGTCGTGCACGAGGTGCTCCGCGACCTTGCGCTGCGGGATGCAGCGGAAGCCGTCCACAATGTAGCGCTTCACCATGTGCGAGAGGACACCATCGACGGGGGTCACGCCGTAGTGGGCGGCGGCCTTTTCAATGACCTCTGTCACCTCGTACACGTTGACGCCCGGTCGCATCTTGCGCATGGCGGTGTTGAGGATGCTGTGCGTAGCGGCTAGCACCTTCGCGGCCTTCTCGTCAACACCAAGCTCGTTGTTCTCTGTCACCTGCACCGTGTGCGCCACCTGCGCACAGTAGCCATCAACATGGATGCCGAGGTCAATGTGCACCACGTCACCGAGCTTGATCTCTTGCGATGCCGTCTCATCGCCAGGCGCAGGGCTGTTGTGCGCGACGCAGTTGTTCACAGAAATGCATGTGGGGAAAGCTACGCCCTTCTCCGTGCCCTTAAACATCGTCTTTAGCTTCTTAGCGATGATGTCGTCGCCCAGCTTACAGAGTTCACACACAGTCACACCAGGTTTGATGGATTCAAGCAGCTGCTGCAGCGTCTCATTACACCACGAAGCCGCCTTCTTGTAGCGCATCACCACGTCAGAGTTGTTGATAGTCGTGTCTTCTTCTTCTTCATCTTCCTCTACGCCTTCGCAGTCCTCCCACTCCTCCTCGGTGCCAACATTCCGCGACATGATTGCTGCTGCTGTTGTTGTTGGGGTCTTGCACAAAAAAAGAGAAACTGTGCGCTGTGCTGAACAATGGACTATACGCGCCACGGATGGGGAAGGTGGAACGGGAAGAACACAACAACAACCACAAACAAAAAAAAAAAATAGAGTACAAAAGAAGACAATACAATTGAAGAAGAATAAAGCAGACACAGGATGTTTTTTTTTTCTTCCTCTTTCTACCGCATCATATCCTCCATAGAATGACACAAGGCGGCGGGAAAAGAGGGAGTAGCAATTAGAAAAAAGAACACATGCCAAACGACCATATACTACCCCCCAGCAAACACACACAAACACCGAAAAAAAAAAGAACTCGTTCGCCCCGTTTACCACTATGAAACAGACATACATTTTTTTTCGTTTGTCTTCTTTTTCCACTTTTCATTATTTTCCCACCCTTTTCCATTCACTCAAGATATTTCTATTTTTATTTGCGTTTTCCAATCATGGCTTGCACCCCGTCACTGCACTGCCCCCCTCGCGAACTGTCAATGCCGCGTTCCGCGCTGGCGGCGGCGGCGGCGGCGTACAGCCGAGGGCGGGGGGTGGTCGCTCGTCGTCCGAGTCGTACAGTGGGCTGGCGGCGGTGTCCTCCACTGCGGTGGCAAAGTGCCCCCCGCCCTCTGCCGACTCCGGCTTGCGTGGCGGCGGCGAATCACCAAAATCGAACGCTGCCACCGAGGCCTTCGTTCGGCCGCTAACCTTGCCAAACTTGGCACGGTCCAGCGTAGGAACGGTACGCTGCAGAGAGAAGACGACGAAGCCCACCACAACGGGCGCCACAACAACACAGAAGATTGTGATCACCTTCTTTGCAAGGTCTCCAGGCACATTACTGTCCACAGTATTTAAAGTGCTCACATTGACACGTGGCATGCCGTCATACGGAGATTGGTCAATAAGATGTACGCCCTCTACGGAAACAAGAATGAACGTAGCACCGTTCAGGGAGCTGGCACGCAGAGGCAAGCCCCTCCCAGACGCCATTGCTGTGTAGACAGCACGTAGCTGATTGGCCGCACTTTCACTCGATACTGTAGCATCTGGCTCGATAAAAAGACCAAAGTTGTTGTTGCTCTTTGCAGTAACAAGAATACCTTTTGGGTCAGCAGTTTGATTCGTCACAGCAGATACGTATCGTGTTACAGCCTCTTTGCACGAGTCACCCCCCAGGACGCTGTTCGTATCATTTAGTGGAAGGAAACTAAGATCCAAAGAAAAAGGGTTAACCTGTGTTCCTGTGCCGATATCGTTGATGACCAAGTACGCACTGATAGGGACAAAACGCAAGGAAGCACTCTTCGAGGCGGTGGCGCATATCAGCAGGTAGGCCGCTCGCCCCGCGGCACTGACCATGGCGGGAACACCTGGAACAACTCTTACCCACCCTAACCCAAAGCTATCCGTGTGCACCATTAGCGACGCGACGTGCCGCTGAGATGTGGTGGAACAATTTGCGGTAGCATCATGGTCTTCTGGTGAATGGGCAAGGAAGAGTTCCAGTTGCGTAATTGGGGGTTTGTGGGGATCCGTGAGAAAGACAGTCGTATTGTCGCGTGTGTCATACCGTATCGCATAGTGAGGAAGGTAGTTGATTGAAGAAAGGGATAATTCTAAAACGGCAATGCGTCGCTTCCGGAACTCCTCGATGCTAAGTGGCGTCGGGGAAATACTTTTCGTATAGTAACAAGAGTACAGTAGAGACTTCGGGGTCAGTGGCGCAGTGATAAACGAAGCCTCAACGGCGACAGAAGATGTGGTGGGAGATAGGTACTGCATGGCAGCCGTGTACGCAGGCTGCACACTACACGTAGGATCATCCCACACAAGAGCCAACGACACCACAACATCTGGCAGGAAGTGACCCACAATGGTCCATGTTGACGTCTCCGTTTGCCAAATGTGGATAGTCTTCTCATTTTCTTTCGGGTTAGAAGTCGCAATCGCCTCCGCAGTAACAACGTTAGTACCCGCATTACTTGTCATGGTATGAATATACGCCTGTGGCACAGCCGACCAAGTCATTGTCTGCAAAACACATACAACGTAATAATTGTCGCTTCCATTCCACAGGAGCGGGGCAAGGTCAAACACCGATGCCGAAAAGAGAAAAGGGGTCATTGTAGACACAAGAACCTTCTGCCGTATCGACGCGGCGTCACAGCCCTCATCCCACAGGGCGAGGCCAAAGATCACACCAGCGAGCTGTGTGCTTGATTTCAACGTCACCACAGAGCGTTCGCGATCCGTTATGGCAGAGGTGCTGTACATCTTCCCATCCACACTCATCTCCATCATCTTCGGTGCTTGGCACGCTATATTGCCTCGTCTCAGAAACACTCTTCCCGCGATCACTGTGGCCATGTAACTTTTGTTGTCCCCACTCAATTTCACGTTAATGGCATCAAACGACAAAAGTCTCTCCGTAATGATAGCAGGCCATGGACGGTCCACAGGTTGGATGCCACACACCTCCAAGAACGGCTGTGTCGGCACGTACCCGCAGAGAGAAGATGACCCACATAGCTCCCATGCCCCCGACGTCAAGCCCTGCTCCCTTTCCCACGCATCCATACCCGCCTCGTACGGTGTCACGATTACCGTACGATTAGTGGCCACAAATGCCGTGGTAGACGCGGCACCGGCGCCAGCGTAGATGCCCACACACAACGTGAACGTTCCGCTCACCGCCTTGTGGAAACTGACGGCAGTGATTCCACACGGCGTCTGCCAGACGCCCGCAGTAAAGCCGGTACGACACTTTTCATCCACAGATAGGCGCACGGCGTAGTTGGCAGACGGATCTGAGTTCGTGAGATCAAGACGTACAGCTGTACTCGGCAGACTTGCAATGATCGCAGTGCCCACCACGGAGGAGGAGCCGCCGAACAACTGAAGCCATTCTAAGGGCTCGTGCACCACATAGTCGATACGAAGATATTTCGATCCCGTGCACAGAACACCGGATGAATGCGAAAACCACAGAGCTCTATTTATCTGCACGGACCCAGCATTCACATCGAAATCGCCCTCGCTTTTTGTTTCATTGAGGCTGCACTCCACCATTTTTTTTTCCCACTCCGCGTTGGGCGACAGCGGGACAAAACGAAGGCGCAGCGCATTTTGCATAATCAGAAGAGAAACGGTATTAAAGTGTTCTATATCCTCCGCTGAACGCGGAGGGAGGACAAAACTTCCCAGCGCTATAGATCCTGTGATACCATTGAAAAGAGACATCTTTCCTGACGGAGGCAAAGAAGGTTTGTGACCCAAGACCCTTACAACTGCCCCGTCTAATGACAGAACCCGAAATTTTGTCGCTGTTGCCACGTGTTGTACACACAAATATCTCATTTTTGGATCCCTGGAAGCGGTGCTGAAATACACCGTCGGTGTCCTCTCCTGTTCTTGTTCTAAAAATGATAACGATGATGATATAGACAGTCTTGTCGGCAAAACTGGAACTTCAAGCTCCAGTTTGACAGAAGCGTCATCATCCACAGAAGGACACCGCTCCGAGCGGGAGAGAAAAGCCGCATACGTGTTGGCTGCGAAGGCAGATGCGGAAGCGCCCAGTACCACAGCCCTGATCGGCTCGCCATATGTATAGGTAGTATTGCTGGTGGAAAAGGAGATCCGTCTTTCTTCAATAAGCGCGATGATACTATTTTTACCATTCATAGACGCACAAAGGCTCTTGTGGCCCGTTTTCACACGTGCGATATGCTCTTTGGGCAGAAAGAGCCAGAAGCTACCGTTTGCAAAAACGAAGTCGACAGAGAGTTTGCTTGGAACACACTTCCTCCCCACAACACCATTGCTGACCATGGAAAAGGATAAACCATTCAATACAAATGGAGTCACCTCAGCAGTGTGCTGCGCAATCGTCCCTCGACCCGTCACACGCAGAGGTCGAATAACATCCTTTGGCTTTAGCATGTCCTCCTCATTCAACACCACGCTGTCTTTTACATTGTGCAACACCTCATCCAATGAGTGAATCGCAAGTGTGGCGTTTGTTTGACGATATATTGGGACAGCTGAAGTGTTCACGGCTACCACGCACACAAAGTATCGCGTGACGCCGGACTCCATCAAAGACAAAGGAACAATAAACTGCAAAGTTGAACCGGCCACAAGCGTCAAGGTTGCAACGTCCCGTGGGGCAATAGCATCCGCCTTCTCCATAAAGGCAACACCAACAAAATGGTGATGATTGCGGCGCAGTGCATCAATCCGCTCCAACAGACCTGTTGCTTTCAGAGGCACGTCCACACCGTTGGTGGTGGAAAGCACGATATCGAACGTACCTACCTTACTCACTGCAACAGCCAGGTCGTCCAGCACCCCCCAAACATTTGTAGAAGACGGCGCCTCTGTTGGAGCCTCGGTTGTAATTGGGGCGGATGTTCCCGTTGGTATTTCCGTCGTGTTTGGATAAGGTGTATCCGTCGGAGTCTCCGTCGTGTTTGGATAAGGTGTATCCGTCGGAGTCTCCGTCGTGGTTGGATAAGATGTATCCGTCGGAGTCTCCGTCGTGTTTGGATAAGGTGTATCCGTCGGAGTCTCCGTCGTGTTTGGATAAGGTGTATCCGTCGGAGTCTCCGTCGTGTTTGGAGCAACAGCTGGTACATCACCATCTGTGCAAATGAACAGAGTACTAGGAAACAGGTCATACGACATCGCACCCCACGAACCGTCATAGCGCACCACGAGAAACCCGTCCCTTAATGTCGGCGGGGGCACAAACCCCGATGGCTTCCATTTCATCGGAAAACCATCGTCCCAGTAGACCTTCCTCCCTCGCACATGGCCGCCAATTCCGGCATATGGCTCCCTCTGTGTATGGAGAAACGACACGACAGCCTCGTTTTCAGCTCCTGAGTCAATGCGTGTGGTCCATCTCCCTGGATCATCGATACACCCCCCTCGCACCATGTAGAATGCACACTCCACATGCCCAACAAGAAGTTGGAGCACTCCTGTGAGGATCGCCAGCGCCACCACGCACATTTTCAGCGCGCCCCTTCTCTACGTCTGCGTATCCCTACAAAGAAAGTTCCTTGGAAGGAAGCGACAACCCATTGGAAACGAAACCCCCCCCCCAAAAAAAAACAACGAAAATGTAAGAAAAGTAAACAGGCGCGTGCCAGGAAGGTCGAACTAAATAGTGTTGCGAAAAAACGAAAACATTTATTTGTTTGGTTGCTTGGTCTTTCACGTGTGTGCAAAAGACGGAACAAATATGGATCCTCAAAGATAGGCACATTTCACACCATACGCCCCGTGATGCAAACGAGAATCGGGTAAAGAACAAACCAAACGCAAAAAAAGACACAGGACAATAGATGGGAATGAATCGTGAGTAAATATAGGGGAGGTATTTTTCGGCACCGGTCACAAGTCCTGAATCTTTCATCTGGCAGTGGCTCTCGCCTCCTCTACTTCTTCTATTATGCTACAGAGCAATAACACAGAATAGTAAGATTGAGGGTGCCTGACCCATCTTTCTGCCTAAAAGTTAAATTCATCGTCGGCTGCCGACGCCTTCGAAGTGCTCTGAGGAACTGATCGCACGATGCCAACATATGGGCTAATTCCAGGCATGGTCGTATTCGGAGACAACAGTCGTGACGCAACACATGAAACGGGTGGAGGGCTCCCACCGTTTGCTCTAAGTCCCACGCTGCCCTGGCTCGGTCCATTTGGCGTTGAAGCGTGCATTGTTGCAAATTGAAATGGATTGTGTGGCTGGCCCGTGCTAATTCCCGCATAAAGCGCTGTCGTCGTGCCCCCTGCCTCGGCCACACTGTTGGTTCCCGTGAAATAGGGGTGTTGTAAGCACTGCGTCGCTGTAGGGCGGTCACTTGGGTTAAACCGCAGCATCTGCTCTATCAAGTCAATGGCAGCTGGTGGAGCATTACTTAGAAGTTGTTTCAACGGTGTTGGTGCCACAGTAGGAAACCGCATGCTGCTACGACGCGAGAGCTGATATCCTTCATCCCATTCAGAAGGACTGGGAGCTCCGAGCACAGAACAAATCTTGAACAGTTGATCGGTTTCAGACGAACCTGGAAAAAGTGGCCGACAGAGATATAATTCCGCAAATATTACACCACATGCCCATATATCTACCGGTGAGTTGTAGTGAGTAGAATGTAGAATAATCTCAGGTGCTCTGTACCAGCGAGTCGAAACGTATCCGGTAAAAGGTGGTCGGGAGCGGATTTCTTTAGCTAATCCGAAATCAGCAACCTTCACGATGTCCCCCTTAGTAAGCAAGTTCTCCGGCTTTAGATCTCGATGCATAAAACCACTCTTGTGGATCGCCTGTACAGCCAGCAAGGTTTGACACATGATGCTACGGATTTCGCGGTCATTAAAGATTCTCTGTGCACCACTCATTTGCTCTGCCCGCGTCCGTTGTATGTTGAACAGATTCATTTCCATGTACTCAAATATTAGAAAGAGCTCTGTGTTTTCACGCACCACTTCTTTGAGCTTCACAATGTTTGGGTGCTGCAGTTTCCTCAGAGACTGTATCTCGCGAAGCTGTAGGCACTCCTCCCAGCTAGAAAAGCGTTGCTTCATCTTCTTTACTGCCACGATTTCCCCACTACTAACCTGCTGGGCCTTGCTCACCACACCGAACGAACCATCGCCCAGCTGACCCATAATTGAGTACCGGTTCATGTTATGTTGCCGTCAGTGAAAGTAAACAGTTTTGCCTTTACAGCGATGCCAGTGCTCCCTTCGCGACCTTTCACCCTGCGTCTTCCTGACCGCACCTATTTCCCCGCTTACGTATTGGATGTATTACTAAGCTCCCCACCTCCCGGGGCAATCACAGGAGGAAAGAAAGTGCGTTAGCTCTAAAGAAAGGGGGAAAAAGTAATGAAAAAAAAAAAACGGAAGTGTACGTGGGAAGACAAACAAGGCACACAGTATGTATATATTTTTTTTGTTCTTCTTAACAGACGCCGTGTAACTTCTCTTTGAGGTTCGCGGAAACAGTTAATGATATCGGTTCCTCGTCTCTCTTCTTATTTTTTGTGTGTGTTTTCTTTTTTTCCGACTCACTCTACTTTAGAAATTCGCCGTTGTCCATAACACCAATAAAGGGGAAAAAAAAATAATGGAGCGGTGGCAGACACCAAACGGTCACGCCACTTTCTTTGCCGCTGGCTGAGCGCTACCAAATGGCTGGCCCGCCTTCACGCCACGCAGGTGGATACCAAATGCCCTCTCCATCTTCACCAGTACACGCTCCTCCGGCACAGCCTTACCGTTTTCATACTCCGTCACTACGCCTACACGCTCTGCGATGCGCTGTGCCAAATCTTGTTGTGTCCACCCCTTTGCCTGACGGGCCCTTTGAATTGAAGCACGCAGGTTGTTGTCAATACGCTTCACCTTTAGAGTTTCGTTATCCTCGTCCAAGCGCTTCGCGTTGGCGCCAGGCCCAGCCTTCTGTGTGTTGGCATGATAGTGCTCCTTCTTCATCACATCCACATTCCCGCCACGCTGCAGAAGACGGTTCGCCTCAGCCTCGTTTACACGCCCAGGTTTTTTATTCCCTGTGTTCCTGTTCTGAAAGTTAAACACCTGCGGCTCCCAATCCTGCCCAGTCATGATTTGACCTCGGGGCATCCTGAGCAGCGGTATAAGCTTTTCTTATTCCTCTTCTAATGCAGCCGCCACCACCAGAATATAAAACAAAGGGAAAAAGCGGGCGCGACACCACAATGAAAAGAGTCAACTCAACACCACACCACACTAAACCCAGAGCACATGAAGAGAAGGTAGGTCCATATAAAAATAAAGCTTTCAATCAGAATTAAAATTGCATTTTGACACACGAGGAAACACGAATATCATTTCGCCCTCTTTCTAAAGTTTACTTTAAAACATCAGAAAAACAAGGAAAAAGACAATCTTTTTTCTTTCTTTACAATTTTCCCCTACCACCCCCACAAAGCCCCTACAATTAGCCACAGAAGGTGTATCAAGAAGTATTTACCATTCTTCTCAAGACGTGCTTTCCGTTTGGCATTTTGCTAATATCGGGTGACGATATACTCGCCACCGCTATGCATATGAACTAAAATACAACCAAGGAGAAGATCCAAAGACCTTCTTTACTATTAAAAAACATCCTTGCTGTATACAAACCATCATTCATCAAACCCCTTGACGATCAGTTCTCCTTCTTGAGTTCCCCGGCTTTGCGCCACTTGATGTACATGGGCTTGAGTGCATCCACACCGGAAAGCACACCG